TGTACATATATATATATATATGTGTATATATATATGTACATATATATATATATATATATATATATATATATGTGTGTGTGTATATATATATATATGTGTGTGTGTATGTATATATATATATACATATATATATATATATATATATATATATATATATATATATATGTATGTATGTGTGTATGTATGTATGTATTCATATATATATATATATATATATATATATATATATATATATATGTATGCATGTGTATATATATATACATACATATATATATATATATGTATATATATATATGTATGTATATATATATACACATGCATACATATATATATATATATATGAATACATACATACATACACACATACATACATATATATATATATATATATATATATATATATATATATATATATATATATACATATACATATACATAGAATAACAATCATATAGGAACCCATCTTTAGGTAGGAACTTAAGAACCAATCTTAGCCCTTGATTTGTATTAATCTACGGTTCTTTTTTTTTTTGTGTTATTTTTTTTTAACATTGATGCTAGTGTATTTTAGGCTTGGAGGGGTATTTTGGGCATTCAAGTACTGCTACGTGTGTGGAAGATTGGAAGCTGCTATTTTGTCGTTGGAGTTTTCGAACTTGTTGTTGTTGGACTCCTTCACTCCCAAACGCCACGCGATTCGCTGTTTCTTTCGTTCGACGCCCAGATCGTGTTCTCTCGTCTCTTCTCCAGCATTCCGTCTCAGATGGCCGGTGGTGTTGTGAGGAACCCCAAGCGTCCTCGTTCGGAGACGACATCTTCCATTGCTCGAGGTGGGTTTTGTGTTGTTTTTTTTTTCCCTTTTTAAGTTTTGATTTCAAGTGCAATCAGTATGTCTATTTTAATCGTGTTGGGGTTTTGGGTGTGCTTGTGGCCGGAAACTATGGAGTTTATTTATTTATTTATATTTTGGTTATGGTGTGTTTTGTATTGTTCGTGGTGTTGGTGGGTGTTTCTAAGGTAGTTTAGTTTCATGATTTATGTGTTTGTTAACCTGGTTTCCAAGGCGGTAATACGTTAAATTTTTCCTTTTTCATGTTTGCTTTTGTCCCTTTTCTCGAGCATGTTGCTTATTGGTGTTAGGTGGTGCGGTGTGGGGTCCTCAATGTCTGTTATTTTGGGCTGAGTTATTGTGCCTTTGTTATCTGTGGTGTTGTGAGTGGTTGTGTGGTGGTAGTTCCCCCTTTGTTGGGTTTTTTTTTATGCCTCGAATGGGTTTAGCCTGGATGTTGTTATCGGGCATGGGTGTGGGATGGGTGAGCCTTTTTCTACAACTGTGTGTGCACTTGTTTAGGTATGCAGTTTTCCCCCGATTCATTGTGGCATTTAGGAGTAGGGGGGTGGGTTGTTAATGTTTTGGGTTGTGCCTTTTATGACAGGTGGGTGCGCACATTGTTTGAATGTTATTTAGTTGTTTCCTTTCGGTGTGCTTCCGTGTGTTGTTTGGTTTACTGTTCTTGGCGTGTGTATGTTAGTAAGGTTGTGTGTGCACATGTGGAATGTGTGACTATTTTGTTGTTGTGATCCCCAAGCCATCGAGTCCTTTCTATTACTCCGTATTAATTAGTGTATTAATTTAGATTGGCTTCTAATTGGAAATTACTTAAGCAGTAAGTGAGTTTATTATATTGCACAAAGATTTGTTGAATTGAAGGAAAAACAAAACGATCGCAGTTAATTGCTTCATCATTGTAACCAAGCTCACATGAACAAACCAGAGATCAATTTATAATCACATATACAAGAAATAGAAAGAGGAATGTAACATACAACAGAAATATTAGTATACTACAAAATCATAAACATAGTGCACATTAAACACCATATTTGCTATCTTATCTATTTTAATAGTTTTTTAATTTATTAGAATAATATTCAGATATAAATATACAGAAATAAGCATGAAAATTTACTTTGAAAAACATGACATATATCGTACTATTTTGTTGTTCATTGGGCGTAGGGTGTGTGTTTCTACTAGCTATGTGCTCCTGTGTGGTCTTGTGTGTGCTCTTCTGGTGTATAATTTAACATGTATGTCTGCTTCTTGTTAGGTGTGCACATTTGCCCATTTGTTTGTGGCGACTAGGTTCAGGGGTTTTTTGTTGACCTCATACCGACTAGGTTCATGGTATTTAAAACTTTTGGTTTTAGTTCGGTTATGATGTTCATTGTGTTTTGGGGAGTGATGCATTTTTTAGGGGGTTTGTTAATGTATATTTGTGACATTTTGTAAGCTGTTTTTGGTCATTATGGTCGTTTGCTTTCTATGTTGCATGTGTGCAGTTTATTTTCCCGATTCTACAAAGTGGTCACTACTATGTTATTAGTGTGAACATGGTCTGAAAACGAATTGACATAATTGACAATTCCTCGGTTGCTTTGACTAATGAGGACAAGTACTGTGCGACTCCTAAGGTGTTGGTATGTGTTTTGTTATCATTTGTTTTTTTTTTCATGGCGCACTGTATCTTACCATGGCTGCTTGGTAGTCTATCCTGTTGGACTGTATGGCACACACATATCTTCCTGGGTGCACACTTGTCTTTCCTTGATTGGTGGTTTCTCTGAATCATTTAGTTGACCTTGTTTCGTTGTACTCTTTGTCTTTTGACATAAAGATTTGTTGTCTGTGTTCCTTGATGATGAGGTTGATGAGCGATATGGGGCTATTGTACGAAGGGTTACCCCGAGAGAGATGCAGATGCGCTAGCGTGATGCACGTAACAAAGTGGATTGTGGTGTCTATGCAATGCGCCATATGGAGTCCTTTCTGGGCCAATCTGTGCGTGCATGGGTTTGTGGTCTACAGAAGGGTGATACTAGGTGTACTGATTTGTTGAGGAGGTCTTATATGCGTCAGATTTTGACGTCTGAGATTAACGCTCACCATTCCAAGAACATTTGTATGTGTATATATGTATATATGTATATATATACATATACATATATATATATATATATATATATATATATACATATACATATACATATACATATACATATACATATACATATATATATATATATATATATATATATATATATATATATATATATATATATATATAGGAGCGCTCACATGTGGTCATGTTGTTAGGTGTGGTCATATGGTCAATTATAGACCATTAGATTAGATAGATCTAATGATTCATATTAATCAAGATTTTTTCCAGTATTTTCGCGCACATTCTCCTACCCAGAGAACTGTAAGGGTAAACTTTTCATAAAACACCGGAATAGGAAAAATCACATTGTTGTGTGTTTTATTACACTATTGGTGCATGTTGTCAACACTGTTGGTGTATTCTGGAACCCGACCGCTATAAATGGCCATTGTAATTACCATAACACGGGAATACACCATTGGTGTGTTTCACTGTGGTGTGTTTTATTACACTATTGGTGTATGTTGTCAACACTGTTGGTGTATTCTTTAAACCGCCCGCTATAAATGGTCACTGTAATTACCATAACACCCCCACTTACTAAAACGCGCGAAAATTCTCAGAATTACCACTGCCTTTAGATTAAACTGATTCAACGACCCAGATACGACCACACGACCATACCTAATGACATGACCACATATGAGCGTTTTTCTATATATATATATATATATATATATATATATATATATATATATATATATATATATATCGAGAAATGGTTTATAACCTGAGGTTTTAACAAAACGAGAAGAAATAGAAATTTGAGTGTACACATTCTCATTAAAATCAATTCGCCACCTCCTGAGGGTGGTAGGAGTGTTGTGGCGTCAATCTCCCAGGATAAAACAGATTATGACTTTGGTGTTCAAGCACTCAAGCCCAAAGCCCGATGAACAAGAACACAAGCTGAGCACTCCGTACGAAAATTACGGAAGATGTTGGCGCGCTGACGACCATCCATTTTCTGTTTTTAAGTCAAAGGATGAGAGTTGAGAGAAAAATAATAAAAGTTTGAGAGTTCTAAACTTGCATGTAAAAAATATTCTGCCACCATCCTAGTTTTTGTAGGAAGAGATGAATTAAATAGCATAAGCATGGCTCATAAACCAACATAAATCCAATTTACTAATAAGATGATAACGTTTGAAACAGTCATACTTATTAACGTAATAATATCAACGGTCACAAAATTAATATACAATTAATTCGTACCGACCATAGTGACATGTTTCAAAATACCTAAATAATCGAGAAGTCCGTACAAACAAAAAGGTTGTCGAATTGGAACTAGAAACCGCACCGAGTGGTGCAAATAGCATCATATCAAAACGGTGCAACACAAATCGGTGCATATAGGTAAAACAAATTTACTTTCCGCGACACCCCCACGTGGATGGTGTCGCGGTATGTGTGTGTGTGTGTGTGTGTGTGTGTGTGTGTGTGTGTATAATTTTAATATTTTTTTTTAATTTTTGAGTGCTTTCTGCAACACCCCTGATGGCGGGTGTCTCACAAAGTGTTTTTATTATTTTATTAGTTGTACTTTTTGAGACACATTTTGAAGGAAAGTGTAGCGGAAAGTGTTCTCATTTTTTTTAAGAACCCGCTACAACTTTTAGACATAAGTGTACCGTTTTCTCATGCATATATTTATACTTTTGCCACTATACTATTTTTTTTAACTTTAATTTACGCTACACTTTTATTAATAAGTATAGTAGATAGTCATCCTTATATGTTAATTTTTGTAATAGTGAGCGGTTTAAAATCGTTGTCTATTAAATGTTGTTTAACCTAGTATAGTCGAAAGTTACCCTCATAAACAACAGTTTTTAATCGTTATCTTATATATCAAAGATAATAACGATTATAAACCGTTGTTTTTGTCTCACGTTACATGGTTAGACTTTAGATTATTACAATAATAATAGCACATTATTACAATAATAATAGCACTTGTTTCAAAAAGAAAACAATAATAATAACACACCATTACATATATGGGTAGAATCACTATATGTCTATATATCACATGCCCATTCCAAAGAGTTATATGGGACACAGTACACTTCCTATATATATATTTTATTTATCTGTCCTCAATTTATGCATGAGTTTATTTATGTAATATATAATTGGGACAAAGTATATAACTTTTGTAGATTGGTTTGAACTGAAATTCAAAAGTGATTAGGCGATTATTTATCCAGATCCTCGAGGGAGCGGAAGAAGACTTTGAGGTCCAAGACAGATTCTTTGACGACTGCCCCTACGGGCATGGAGTGAGAAGAAAGGTGATTAGAAGCAGGCCCGAATACACCAGTTTCCGGGTGGGGAGTCCAATACTCACCGCCAGGTTGGACTACACGTACGTCAGGTATAACATATTCGTCTGGGATTTTCTCATACACAGATGACTGCACCTTCCTCTTCCTGCATTAACCACTCAAGGTTATTGTACCCTTTTATTTACCAGAAAAATCCGCAGTCTAGTCAAACCCTATGAGCGACTACAAATAAATAAACTACTCTATATTGTTTATAACTGATCTTATCACATCAAGAAGATCAATAAACATATCATTTGATGAGTCAAACTTTAAACATTGTAATTATCGAAATAACAAGGTCGACCTTGAGCAAGGGCAGGGCTCTTGCCTAGGGCCTACGCCTGGAAGGGGACACACCATCCCCTTTCTTATATATAGTATGTATGTATGTACCTATAAGAAATTAACATACATATAATTTAGGAAAAATAACCCTTTTGTCATCTCAATTGTTTCACTTTTAAAATTTTGACCCCTGTAAATTAATTTAAACAAATTTAGTCCTTAATTATTCATAATGTGACTTTTTAGTAGCTTGTTCTATATAATTGTCAAACTAGATTAGCAAGCTATTTTTTATGAGGTTTATATATATATATATATATATATATATATATATATATATATATATATTCATGGTTAGAAGTTTCATTGTCTTCATGTGAACACCATTTTTATAATGAAATTGATTATAAATGATAAAAATAACCTAATATATGTCAAACGGGATTTTGACAATTATATAACACAAAATTTATAAAAATTAAGGAGCTAAATTTATTTAAATTCAGTTAAAGGGATTAAATTTACAAAAATAAAATAATTTAGAGGTCAAAAGGGTTTTTTTTTTTTTTTTTTTATAATTTAACTAAAGACATAATTGCTTAGATGGTAAGCAATATAGTTATTATTATATTAAAGGTCAAGGGGTCTGTTGCCGCATCTTTAATACATTTATTTTGTGAGCTTCTATAATGAGTTTAAAATTGTACAAATTATATTTAATTTGATTAATTAATTTATATAAAATATAATGTCTGATTCAGTTATGAAAAAGAATTTTTAAAAACGTTTATTTTTTTTTATGAATCATTTAGTCAAGGTAAAATATAAATTTCTATTATTTGTTATCATATTCAAATTACTCTATAAAAACTTAAAATTGATCAAGCTAAAATAAAAAGTATTTATCATTTATAATGTGTTTTCTATTTGAATCATTTTATCTAATTAATTATATTTCATATTTTATTATGGATATTTTATTATCTTTTAAATTAAAGTATTCTGATTTCTCACCTCCTAGTCATAAATATGTGAAACTCTACCCATGTTTGTAAGTTTTGTTTATAAATTTTTGTTAATAATTAGTATATTATTTATTATGATAACAATATAATTGTTTGTAAATTTATTTAATTTTAAATTATTTATTCATTTTATAAACTATTATTATTTATTTGTCAAGACATTGTTGCAGTTATTAATTATTTTGCATTTAGAAAAACAATAAATTTTTTTAATGAAAAGTACTTATGAAGTCCCTATACTATAGTGTTTTATTCAATTTAGTTCTTGTACTTTTATTTTGTTCAATTTAGTCCCTCTACTTTAAGAATTGGTGAAACTAAGGACAATTGTCCAAATTTCATTAGGAACATGGTTGTAATTATTTATTTTGGACATACTAATTTAATATATTATTGCTAAAAATAATTAATTTTAGACATTTATAAAGTAATATATGAGTAGGAATATAAATATCGTCAGCGCTACGTAACCTAAATTAACGCTAATATTAACACTGTTAGCTATTGTCCTTAATTGCACCGTACCACTTTTTAATGTACATGGACTAAATTGAACAAAATAAATATATAAGGACTAAATTGAACAAAATGCTACTGTATAGGGACCTCATAGGTATTTTGACCATATTATTGTGTATGTAAATTATTAAACACTTGTAAATCTTATTGCAAGTTATTTGACATTAGTAATTTTTTTCCTTATCTAATTTAAATTTTAGGCATAAAAATAGTTGTTAACTTGGGCTAATTTTTTTTTACATGCCCTGGACCTATAAAATGATACAATCATTATTTAGGCAAACTATTGAGTGGACCATGGTCCATATAGCAATATGAATCATGAATGCAATATACATTTTTAATATACTAAAAGTACATTATTTGTGTATTAAATATATATTATTTGAGTATGGGTATCCCCTTCCTTTGTAATAAAAAAAAATATATATTATTTGATAATATATATAAAAAAAATCAAGTACTTTCAAATAATTTACTTTATATATACCAATAATAATATACTTTTAGTATATTAAAAAAAAAATTATTATGTTAAACAATTCATCTATCTTCACCAATATAATATCACACATTACTTCCGACTCAATAAATGCATTTCAAAATTTTTATTTGCGTCAATTTTTATTTTCTTTTTTAAAAGGAGGGGGAGGTTGGAAACATATCTCCAATTTTTACTAAAAAGCTTTGAGCCGAAAATGTATTTCCTACCTAGCAAATGTGCATCTTAAATTTTTTTTTTTTTTTTTATTTAGAAATAACTCGAAACTTTTTCAGATTTTTTTTACTAATTAAGAAATAACACGAAAATATTTGAGACAAAACGAGAAAATGGTACCCTCAACAAGTTTTTGGGCAACATAAGTGCATATTTCAGTGTATAACCAATTATTGAAATTAATTAATGTATTAATTGAAGAAAAATATGTACGTTACCAGGTTAAGAGGGGAGCAGAGGTGGGAGTTGTAGTTGAAGTGAATTGGCTGACCAAACGCTTTCCCAAGATGGATAGCCTCACAACCTGTAAACTGCCTGCCATATATTATAGAGATCGAGAGTGATTCGTTTTGTATGGAGCAAGCTAAGTAGAGATTGGGATATATATCAAAAGCTTTGAGTTTGACGGAGTCCCTTTATAGTGAGTTGGGGGGCTGAGTGGTGCACTGCACGGAAAATTTTTATGTGGACCATTACGTACTCATAATATGATAACTATAAACACATAAATTTTATTAAATGCAAGTAACATGTTATATATGTATCTGCAGTTAACATATTCTGTATGTGCAGTTAATAATTTATGTGTCTGTAGTTATCATATTATGTGTTTGTAATTATCATGTCAGAAATTATTAGCTGCAAGTACAGAATATTTAAATATAAATACATATTTTTTGGATTAGGGTTCACAATGCAATATGAACCCTGGTCCATGTACAACAATTGAAACGTTTATCACCCCGCCGCGTTGTCTGATCAGTTTTATTACTCTAGGCAAAATTGTATCAACATTAAAAAAATTTAAGGATATTATGTAATAAATATTTTAATAATTTATGAACTAATATTTGGAGAACAGTTACATATGACCAATTATTGTACTTGGTAATATTTATGAGAGAAAATATAATAGTTATGAGAAATTCAATCCATTTTACAAATTCTCATAGAAATTTTTGTCAAAATATAATCGTTGTTAATTTATAAAAGAACATTACATGTTTTGTTAAAAATATATTTAAAATATATTTTAGAAAAGTTTTTATGTTGTTGGAAATAATATTTTATTTCCATGGAGTCTGTGAGAAAGCATATAATATTTGTAGAAAAGGACATTTAGGTCCACAGCCTTTGTTATAGGTGCAATTTATTTAGTTAAAGTTTTAATATTATATATTCTGTTCTTATGTAATCGTAAACGAGGCGTGAATTGCGCAGTTTTTCATTTAATGAGATCATTAATGAAAAATAAGTGCTTTATATTACCAAAGATTATGTGGTCTAATGGTATCAGAGTTGGACTTTTATTTGGAAGGTTACGAGTTCGCGCCTCAATGTAATAGGGCCAGTAACATTCAGTAGGTTGGGAAAGTATATGAACAAATACTACAGTGTAATAGGACCAGTAACATTCAAACAAAAAAAAAGTACTCTATATTATTTTTAAATCAAAATTTAAAAATATTATATTTTTCAATATAAGTATTATGTATTTTTATTCCTTTCAAAATAACAAATGTTATGGTAAAATTACAATTTTTTTAAAGTGATAGATACAATACTATAAATGCAATATTCATACGATAAGTTCCATTCAATTCTAACTAATTATAACAATTATTAACTTAAAATAACTAATAAATGATAAAACAAGTCCATCCATACTCATAAATACAATAGGTGTGCAATGAATTTTGGCATTCAAAGATTCTTTGCTAGCACTCATTTTTCATGCCACATTTTAGTTATCGAGCCATTAATACAATATTAAGATTGTATTATTGGATAATCAAATTGTATAAGATTACATTGGAACATATATACAAACTGTAGAGTTATAGACAGACTAAAACTAGAATATAATAAGAGTCCTAACACTCTCCCTCAAACTCAGGTGGGAGCACCAACCTGCAACTTGTCACGCAAGAACGCAAACCGGAGCAGTAAGTGGTTTAGTAAAAATATCTACCAACTGATCTGATCCTTGGTTGAAATAAAATTGACTTGAAGATCACTTGCATCCACTTTGTCACGAACAAAGTGGTAATCAATCTCAATGTGCTTCATGCGGGCATGGAAAACAAGATTGACACACATGTATGTGACACCAAGATTATCACACCACAACTTCAGGACAGGCACGAAAGGCACACCTAACTCACGCAACAAAGACACAATCCAAGTGACCTCAGCATAGACATCTGCAAAGGCCTTGTACTCAGCCTTAGTAGAAGATCTAGTCATTATACGTTGTTTCTTACATACACAAGAAACAAGGTTAGAGCCCATAAGAACCGCAAAGCCACTCGTAGATTCCTATCCGTAAGACAACCAGCCCAATCCGAATAAGAAAGTGCATGAATATCAGTGTTAGAGGACTTACTCAGCTTTAAACCATAATGCAAAGTCAGGTTAACATACCGTAACACCCACTTAAGTTGTGCCCAATTTGCCATCTTTGGAGCGTGCATGTGCTGACACAGTAAGTTAACAGCATAAGACAGGTCAAGACAAGTCACAGTGAGATACTGCAAGGCACCAGCTAAACTCCTATACTTCGTGGGATCTGCATATGGTTCATCTGCCTCAACAATGGGGCGAGAAACAGGAATTGGAGTCGCCAACGGCTTGCAATTAGTCATACCAGCACGCTTTAGAATGTTTGTCATATACCGCTTCTAAGAGAGCATCATGCCCTCATCTGTACGCACTGTCTCAATACCTAAAAAGAAGCCCGGAGCTCCTAAGTCACGAATCTTGAAAGCATTAGAAAACATGGTTATGAGCGTAGAAACCAAAGACGGATCACTCCTTATAACCACGATGTCATCCACATAGACCAACAAATAGACTCTCAACGCCCCTGTGAAAATATAAAGAGAGAGAAAAATGTTTTCGACGCTTGAAAACCAATAGGCAATAGAAATTATATTTCTGTAATCGGGTAGACCAATCTTGGGGAGCCTGCTTGAGACCATACAAAGACCTTTTCAAAAAACAAACATGGTCAAGAAATTCCTTATCTACATACCCAGGCGGCTGGTACATATAAACTGTCTCAACAAGTGTTCCATTTAGAAACGCATTATGTACATCAAGTTGGAAAATGACCTAGCTAGAGGTCAAAGCCAAAGACAGTAGCAATCGAACCGTGGTCGATTTGACCACGGGACTGAACGTATCAAAGAAGTCATATCTAGGCACTTGGTTGAACCCCTTGGCCACCAACCACTCCTCGTGATGCTCAATAGAGCCATTAGCCTTCCATTGGTGCGAAAAACCTATTTGCACCCAACAACATTCATCCCTGCACAGTAGGGCACAAGCCATGATGTTTGATTCTGCAACAGTGCATTAAATTTCGAGTCCATAACCTCCATCCATTATGGAAACTTGACATCCTGTGTATAACAAGTATGCTCCAAAGGGCGTACCTCATTAGATAAAGCAACCAAAACCGCACCTTCTGCTCGAGACCTACTCCTCGTCACCATGCCAGATTTTGAACTGAGGGAAGAGCAGCAGCAGCTCTAGGCACCCGAGCACTGACCATAGGTGAAGCAGGCTGAGCAGCCATAGGAGAGACCACTAGAGACACAGCTGGAGCTTGCACATGAGAGACAGCCCAAGGCTGTGACGGAGCACTGACAGATGGCTGCAAAACAGGCTTAGCAAAAAGAAACACATACTCATCAAAACGAACATGCCTGTAGATAAAGACCTCGTTAGTGTTTAGATGCATACAACAATACCCCATAAATGAATCTAGATACCCAAGAAAGACACAAGGAGAAGACCAAAAACTCATTTTTTTTTATGATTATACGGACGAAGATAAGGATAACACAGACAACCAAACACTCGGAGAAAGGAATATGACGGTGGAGACCCGTGCAACACAAAATGAGGGCTGGAGTTTTGCAGGACAGGCGTAGGCATCTTATTGATCAAATAGACTACATACTTAAACGTAAAATTCTAGAAACGAGACGGAACAGAGGCATGTGCCATTAAAGTAAGACCAGTTTATATTATGTGCCTATACACGGATGCAAATTTTGAACAGAAAGTAAAGACGCAGACAATTTGGGAACATGAAGAACACGAGACATAGTAAAAGACCTAGAAGGGGTAGAAAATGAAGTATGTCCATCACTAGAAATAGACAAGTCCTTACTGTTACCGACACGTAAAGTGTCATTACCCATATAGTCCTCCGATGCAGTGAGAGCATGAATATATATCAGGCGTGGCATGATTAGTAACACCTGTGATAGGGAACCAACTCTGAGACGTCAATGACGCACTCGAACCAGAATCAACTTGAAAAACCATATTCGCTTGAGCACCAACCGAATAGCGACGATAACATGTCAAAACAATATGACCGTCAAGTCACAAATTTGACAGCGAGGGCCATTTCGGGATCGTTGTTGTCCACCGTGACCACGTCCTCGCAACTGCTGGCCACGCTGATTAATAGAACTTCCATACTACTGATTTCTAGTACTACCACGCCATTGATTTCAAGACTACTCAGAACCGCGTTGACTACCACTACCTCGCCAACTCTGCCTGGAACCGCAACTCCCACCTCCAGACCCACTGCCTCTTCGAGCGACATTAGCGACTGGCTCCGACATACCACTAGCCACCGATTGAAACTCGTCTACCATGAGGATCTCTTGAGCGTTGAGAAAGTCCGCCAATTCCTCCAGGGTCACTGGCGCCACAGGAGTGGAGAGGGAATCAGTGAGGGACCAGAATTTTGGTCGTAACCCCCCAGAGAATATACATGTTTTGTTCATCTCCAGAAACTGGTCTCCCAGCGAAAACCAAGTTTTCAATAATCATTCGCGCCTTTCCAAAGTAATCGGCGACCGACACATCATCCTGTCTAAGAGTCTGCAATCGACCAATCAAATTAAATGTTCTCGCCAAGGAAGAAGAAACCAATGCCGCCTCTATAGCATTCCAAACAGCCATGGAGGTGTTTCTGCCCACTGCCAGGTTCATTGACAGGATAGCTTGGTCTTGTTGAATACAAAGACCATTCGTCGGATTAGGTGCAATTGGCGCAATGGAAGAGGCTTCGCCGACGGGCATGGAATCAAACCGTCAACATACCCCAAATGGTTTTTACCACGAAGAAAAGGGACGAGCTGAGTCTACCAAAATAGAAAATTACGGTCCGTAAGTTTGATACTCACAAAATAGTGAGCAGTGGAAAGAGAATTGGGTGACGATGGAATGGCCACATCAGAGACGGTCCACTCGGAATAGATATCGACAGAATTGTCGTTTGCAGCCATGGAAGAAAACCTAGCAACTCATACCATATTAGGCTTGTATTATTGGATAATCAAACTATACAAGACTACATATGGAGCATATTTACAAACTGTAAAGTTATAGACAAACTAGAACT